TAGGCACAGTGAGTTTGGTTTCACAGGTGCTGTTGACTGCATAATACTACATTGGTAGAATCTGTAAATCAATCAGAGAGATTATTTAAACTGTGGTTTATTATGTGGTATGTATCATGCCATGGTTGGCAGGTTGGTGAAACAGATGGGTGGAGGCAGTTGACCCAAACCATTGTCTGACATATTTCCTGCAAAGTGAATACTGAAACAGTTTCATTAATTGTACGTGTGCAAATTTTTGTGTCTTGTCCTTTGAGTGTTCCTTCCCAATGTGTAGAGGAGCATTGCTGCATCTGTTTGCAAAAATGGCCTGTCTGTTAATTTTCTGCACACTTCATGAATGTCTGCCTTTGGCTGTCACGCAGCCTGTCTGATGTTAAAATTCTTCCTTGCAGATGTGGATGAATGTGCAAATGGCACAGTATGTGGCAGTCACGGGTTCTGTGAAAATATGGATGGCTCCTACCGCTGCCTCTGTTACCAAGGGTATCAGGACACACAGGATGGGCAAGGGTGTACTGGTGAGTTCTTAGGTGCAAATAGTCATTACTGCAAAGTTCAAGTGATCAAAAAGCAGCATTCAAACAAAACGCATTTCATAAGTACACTTTTATTTTCTGTCATTTTTTGTTGAAGTTATACCACTTACGAGTAAAATGAGGTTGAGCTGTGCTTTACTCACTGAACTTTGTGCCAGATGGAAACTTAACTGTGTATCTATTCAATGAGAACCTGCTATTAGGACAAATGGAAGCCATCAGCAAGTAAGCTGACCCACTCATTTTATCTCTTTTTAAAAACCCAAGAAACCTCACTGTTTCTGCATGTCAGGACCATTCACAAATATAAATCATAATAGGTTGAATTTAATACTTCAGCCTATTCAAGTGCGCCATCTGTTTAGTCCCTTAGCTGAATAACCAGGACCCTGCACTACCCTTGCAGGAAATAGCGTCTGGCATTTCCTGCCAGAAATGCCAGGCTGAATTAGATGGCACCTCCCTAGTTGCACGTATTTGAACAGATCTTAACACTGGCTTCTAGCTCTAGGAAAGACACCTATCACCATGAAATTATGTGAGATTTTTGTAGGTATGTAAATACTGCACATTTCTTTTGTGAGTAGTAGGTTTCCAGATCTGTTGTTAATAGTGATGCTTGGACTTGAGAACCATCTGAGGCAGCACAAGTTTCTAATATAAAATTAATACCAGATCAAGGAAAGGTATTCATTAAGCGATTTCTTCAAGCCAGAATCAGGATGAAACACATTTACCAGGAACAGAGACTTAAATGGAATGCCAAACAGAGAGGAGGAGTTAGAAGTTTTACAGAGTGTTTGTATGCATTTTCTAATATATTAAATAGTTTTGTTACAAAATTCTTTATGCCATTTGGCACTTAGCTTGCAACATACCAGTATATATTTTGGCATGCAGTAACTTTTCATGGAAGAAAACAAATGAAGCAAAGAAAGAAAAAAAAAAAAGGGAAAGGAAAAGCTGGTATGGAGCTAAATTTAATTTTGAGTTCCTAGTGAAGTAAAACCATAAAGTAATATATTTATTTTTTTTTCTTGTATACACTATGTAATATAAAATACTCTTATAAATTTTGAAGCCAGTTTTCTACAAAAACAGTTTTAGGAAAAAGTAAGTCTTTAGTTCCTGACTAGGCAATGGTCCCCAAAGAAGACTTGTTCCTTATGAGAGGAACCCAGTAAAAAGATAAAGAAGAATCTAAGTATATTTTTAGTGTTGAGCAAACTCTAAGTTAAAATGCATATTTATATAAGAATATGCAAAAATAACATTTATTCATATGAGTAGATTTTGATGGGTAAAAGGTAAAATTGATGAAGCATTGCCTCACAAGTTATATGTTAGACCACACTCAGTTATAGAGATTTCTGAATTGTGATACAGAAATTATCAACTACAGATTCTGTCATTAGTAGACAAAGTAGATTTTCAAATGTCCACTTTAGCAAAAGAGAGTAAAGTTAGGTGATCCTGACAGTATTTGGTAATCCTTGCTTAAATACAGACAACTCTCCTATTTCAGAGTAGGCTAGTTAGCAAGTGTATGGAATCCAAGTTAGGAATATGTGGAGTGAGGAGTTTTGCAGTGTTTGGCAGGGGTCCCTGGATGACCTGTGCATAACTCTTCTGGGTTCCAGAGCAGCCTGTGAGACCATGCATATGAGAGGCATATGGTGGCAATGGGACTGGGGAATTCACTGTTCACAAGGAAAATGGGATTTTGAGGAGGAAAATTAATTGTCTTTTTATAGTGCAGTCTGAATCACACCAAAACCTCTTAATTCTGCTCCTTCAGTTTAGTGAAAATTTGATAATAAGGTCAAGAAAACAAATGAAATTAGTCTGAATATTAAATCCCAAGAAGAGGATACACTGGAAAGCAAGTATTAAAAATGAGAAAGAAACACCAAAAAAAAAGTGGTTTCTGGTCTACAAGCAGCACCTAATCAGCACTAATACCCTATAAACTGTCGCTTTCAGGGACCTTTATTTCAAAGGACTGACTGCTTGTTTATGAATCTACTTTGGTATTAGTGAGTTTTTAATCCTTCCCTGGAGATCACATCAGTAATCTGGCAGACAACATTGGCACAGATACAGCAGATAAAAGAACAAACTGTCAGTAATGGGTCTCAATTTATGTTTTGGATTTTTTCCCCAGATGTGAATGAATGTGAAATGTTGAGTGGAGTATGTGGCGAAGCCCTCTGTGAAAACGTTGATGGTTCTTTCCTGTGTCTGTGCTCTGATGAAAACCAGGAGTATGATCCAATGACCGGACAGTGTCGCTTCCGTACCTCACCAGGTAAAATGCGAGTGGATTTTTGCATGCTTGCCGTTGTTTCCACTGCATATGTAACCACATATGCAAAGTGGGAAGGGCAAAGTTGGTTTAAGTGCTGGTGTTGCTTTAACAATAACAGAAAAATTTAAAACTTTTTCTTCTTGAAAGTGCGTGCATGAGAAGAGGTTTTTCTAGGATGGAATATGTTATCAGTGAATCATTAGCAGTGAAAACATAGCAGAAACACCTTCTAAATGTTATACATCAACAGACTTGGCAATAATGATGAACTGTTACAGCAGTTAAGAGTAAACAGTCTCTTGTTTGCTGTACTGTAATAATGAAATGTGGTATGGAATCAAGTCTGTGTCCTGAGTGATTTTAATTTTTGTTCAAATTTTTACAAACATCCACTAGTATAGTTGGACAATGTTTAAGGAAGCATATTATTAAAATCAGAATTTGTTTATAGTGATATGTTGTTAGCATTATCTAGTATGAACATAAGTCCTAAGAAAGCATAGTGGGGAAAACAAAAACCCAAACCGCTAAATTGTTGACCGTCTCCTGCTGTTGTCAGTCACTCAAAGAGTGACTGAGGGTCCTTGCCTACTTTACTCCTTTTTTCCCCGCTAGTCCATTGTACGTGATTTGTGAGGGTTTTTTATCAAGTGTTTTTTGTGTTAAAAATACTACTGGAAAGCTGCCTGCACAGTTCTACACTGATCCATTTTGGAGAAAGGAACAAGCCCTCAATAAGGATCAACAGAATACAAGAAATGAAAAGATTTACTTGCATGACTTTTTTTCTCCTCCAGAATGGAAATCTTGGTATTTTTTCTTATTTTGTTCTTACACTACAGGCTAATCTAGCTTCTGGAAAGCTTTGGTTCTAGTGCCAGGATGCAGACTCTACAACTTCTAAAGCTGTGGCTATTTTCTCCTGTCACTCATGGTCCTTCAGACTTGTAAACAAGGTTGAAATATCTGTGACCTAATTGTAACAAGTATTTAGATCACTGAATGTAGCACTCAGCAGCACTCAAGAAGTTGCCTGTGAAATATCATTAGCGGCTGATTGACAAAGGTTTTTGTCCTGTGAGGAGGTAGTACTCAGGAGAGTTCAGCTACCTGATGAAACAAAACCAAAGCTAAAAAATCAGTAGAGGACCTGAGCCATCAAGTCCAAGGAACATTTGAGCACGTACCCTAACATAACTGTGGGGAGGAAGCGAATGAAAAACACGGTTTGACTGATTGTACTGTCAACAGATGGGTACTCTACTGTCAGTACTAACTCCATTTTGTTGTCAGCAGTGAACATAGCTTTGCTGTGATCAGTTTGGAAAGAAACTATTCCTCCTTCCCTTCCAGCCTTCATCAGGCTCTAGCAGAACCCATGCTTTATCTTTGTCTCTTCTCTGATAAGATCATCAAGGGGGAAAGTCTCATATGGGAGATCAGAAGGACCTAGTGAGAAGTACTTTACATTATATGCTCTTGAACTAGAATAAGGCAAAGTGGCTGTACCAGGAATAGGGATCTTACTATTCTCTTTTCTTCTGAAGTAAAAGGAGAAAAGACTGCTGTTAGTTCTTCTTAAACTATTCTTGCTGCCAAGAGCATTAGAATAGCCACACATCCTCTGCCTTTGATAAACCACATACTCAAGTTGGGTGTGGTTTTCTGGGAGCTCCTGTGGTGCATGTGGACATCATCTGTCAGTGTTAGCTTGCACATACCTATTTTCAGAAAGGAAGAATTTAATCTGCATTATCCTGTTGCAGATATCTATAGTTCAGCGTGGTTTACTCAGCTCTTGTTTATTTCTCATTCTGTATTTTTGTGCATAAAGAAGAGTTTGTCCATCTCTTACGAAGTGCAAATAGGTGAAGTTTGTTCAAATGTTGCTTTAATCTGTGACCTTTTTTCCATGTGGTTAAAGGTTGTTAGATTTGTGGAGTGCTGTGTTAACACTTTTCTTATCATTAGAAACTTCCTTTTATTTAGATTTTATTTGCTCTAAATTTGTCTATTGTTAGCTGTGCCTTGAAACAATCCTAACAGTGTATGTATCAGGAATTCAAGCCCATATTGTCACGTTCCAGTCAAAAAAACCATCAAAACAAAGTAGTTGTGCAAGGTTTAATTGTCTTATTCCCCTCCTCTCCACCCCACCATTCACAAAATGTAGGAAATGCTTCAGAAAGAAGAAAACATACAGGAGGAAAAGACCTTTATTCTATATGAGATGAAAATTTGCTGTTATATGCATCTTTGTATCTAAGAGAGAAAAAAATGCATGGATTAGGTTAAAGTCTTCTCATTTATTCTTTTACAAGCTGTATAAAGCCATTTGTGATTAATTTCTATCAAGTACCAAACTCAATGTAGTTCAAGTAATAATACATATTATTGTGGGTTTAATTGTTGCATGATGCAGAATGCATTTAAACTACTAATATAGACTGATACATTACTAATATGTCTCATTGCTTTGAATGGATAATGGAAGCAATAATGGATAGTGTATATTTGAGGATTAGAATAGGTATGCTTTGGGGTGACATGCTAAAACTTGAGGAGTGAGATCCCTCAATCTTCTTCATGAGGTGTCAGCTACGAGAAACCACACTTGAAATGTTTCTATAGCAATGCTTGCAGCATGACAAATGAGCTCAAAGCCTTGGCCCAGTCCCCTCTAGAGATATGACATCATTGACATAACCAAGACCTGGTTGGATGAGTCCTGTGACTGGAGTGCTATGTTGGATGGTTACAGGCTTTTCAGGCAAGGTGGAAGATGGTGTGTGTAATGAAGGGGCTGGAATGCATGGAGCTTACAGCTGGCAATCGCACACTTTAGAGTTTATGGGTAAGGATTACAGGACAAACAAATAACGTGGATGTCATCGTGGGAGCCTACAATAGACCACCTAGCCAGGACAATGGCACTGGTGGATTGTTCTTTGAGGAACTAATGGACACCTCCAAATCAAATGCCCTTGTCCCTGTGGAGGACTTCAACTTGCTGAATGTTAACTGTGAACACCATACAGCTTGTACAACCCAGGCCTGAAGATTCCCAAAACACCTGGATATGCATAAGCGCTGTACACACACACACACATTAAGTGTTGCAGCTTGTCGCATGTGGAGTCAATTGAGAAATTTAGACAAGTTCACCCTGATGATAGGCCCATACAAATCTATTTTTAATGGATTTTTGAAAATCAGATTCTGAAAGTCAGAATCAAAGAATATGATGAGTTGGAAGGGATCCATAAGGATCATTGAGTCCAACCCTTAGCCCCAAATTCTTTTTGAACTCTCTCAGGCTTGGTACCATGACCATTTCTCTGGGAGCCTCTTCAAGTACTAAAAGACACTTAAAGGGTGAAGAACCTTTCTCTAATATCCAGCCTAAACCTCCCCTGGCACAACTTCAGGCCATTCCCTCAGGTCCTGTCGTTGATCACCACAGATCAGTGTCCACCCCTCTTCTTCCCCTCAGAGGAAGTTGTAGACTGCAATGAGGTCTCCCCTCAGTCTCCTCTTCTCCAGGCTGAACAGACCAAGTGACCTCAGCCAGTGTTACTCAAGCTGTTTGCTCAGAGCCACCTGAGTCTTTGCTGAGTTTTTAGAAGTCATGAACTTGCAATGACTATTTTTCACTCTAGCAATCACCTCTCTGATTCTACCTGTGAATGAGAGATGTTGGTACACAGCTGCAGTATTTAAGATCCATCAGTTCTACACATTTTGGGTTTTTTTCAGATCAAAGTGTTAACAGGACAATATTAGACAAATACTTAAGTGTATGCTGAAATCTAAGCATGTGCTAATATCCAGACTGTTTACTGAATCCTATATTACTAATGTATGTTTTTGCATCAAACATATGCTGAAGCATATTATTGGATCAAGGCTAATCTAAGGTATATAAATCTATTTCTAACAAATACTTTAGAAACCAACCATGCAGCAACTATACAGAATTTCTCATATAGGCTGTTGTATCAAGAATATGATAAAATTATGTTTCTGTACCAGCATGCCTTAGGTAGACAGATATTTTACATTTTCTAACAAAAAAGCAGAAGCAACAATGCAAAAAATATGTATCCATTTCCTATCTTATTTTTTCAACATACCTAGTGAAATCACTTTCAAAACCAACCTTTTTACTAAATGGTTAATAATCTATGAAAGAGAAATTATAAGCCTGTAGACACAGACTCGTCTTGGTTTTAAAAAAAAAAAGATTTGTGTCTCATTTGCCTCATTTGCTTTCCAAACATTCATGACGCCTGCTTGACTAACTCTCAGCCACAGCTGTGTAAACAACACCCATTTAAGCTGATGAACAGATAGTGGGAGGAGAAACCAACACATCATATGTAAAATGGGAATAAAAAAGGACATGAGACTACCTCCCCTTCCTCCCAGGGCAGCTTCTGGTGTTCTTTCTCTGGTAAACAGGATGAAAACTGCCATGCTTTCTCTCCTGTTGAAAATTTGGCTTTGATTCAGTTAGACAGATGGCAAATGGCCAAGGAAAATGTATGATTTGGTGTCTGAAGTACTGCTCTCTCACTTTGGAATGGCAGATTTTAGCTGCATTTCTGTGACATGATAGTCTTAACGTAGTTCCTATTGGATAGCAACTGATACCGCAAAACCACCTCAATTGATGCAATTCAGCACATTATGGAAAATTGTAATTATCTGATGAGGGTTGACCACAGGCTAAACTGACAAAGCTGAAATAAGCACCCAGCTGGGTGTTTCTTTTAATGTACAACTTAGTTGTATTGGCAAAACTGCAAAGGAGAGTTTGCCTTGTAGGTGGCAACACTATATTAAATTTGAATAAAGGTGTCTGCCAGCCCCTCAACATCCCAAAACTGAAGTCACTTTTCTGAGGAAACTAGAAATAGTTCCAGTTGTCAGTTTGGAATTAGAAGCCCAAAGAACTATTACACACATTCATACCATTGGAGTGCAATCCATACTGGCATTTTTAAACCTGCTTTCCTCAAAATGGATCTAATATTTGCATGCTCAGTAAAGTTGCCTTGCTCCATCTGCTTGGGGGAATGTGGGTGTGCAGTGATAATAGGTAGCAAGAGCTGTAGTTCATTTAATTCCTTCGGCATTTGTTGGACAATCACTATCTTCAAGCTCTCACCTCACAACCATTATTTTTTAAGTGGTATTTTTGAATCATAGAACTGTTTAGGTTGGAAGTGACCCTAAGATCATCAAGCCCAACCATTAACCAGCACTGCCATGTTCATCACTAAACCATGTCCCCAAGTGGCACACATTTTTTGAACACTTTCAGGGAGGGTGACTTGAACACTTTTCCTGGGCAGCCTGTTCCTTTGCTTGACCACCCTTCTGTGAAGAAATTTTTTCTAATATCCAACCTAAATTTCCTCTGGAGCAACTTGAAGTTGTTTCCTCATCCTTTCACTTGAGATATGGCAGAAGAGGCCAACTCCCACATCACTACAATGTTCCAGGTAGTTGTAGAGAGCGATAACGTCTCCCCTGAGCCTGCTTTTCTCCAGGCTAAACAGCCCCAGTTTCCTCTCAGCTGCTTCTCTTAAGACTTGTGCTCCAGACCCTTCACCAACTCTGTTGCCCTTCTCTGGACATGCTCTGGCACCTCAATATCCTTCTTGTAGTGAGGGGCCCAGTACTAAGCACAGGATTTGAGGTACAGCCTCACAAGTGTCAAGTACTGGGAGACAGTCACTGCCCTGGTCCTGCTGGCCACACTATTTCTGATACGGGCCAGGATGTCATTGGCCTTCTTGGTCACCTGGACACACTGCTGGCTCATGTTCCACCAGCTGCCGACCAGCACCACCAGGACTTTTTCCACCAGGCAGCTTTCCAGACACTTCCCCCAGCCTGTAGTGCTGTATGGGGTTGTTGCCCAAGTGCAGGACCCTGTTGAACCCCATACAGTATGCCTTGGCCCATTGATCCAGCCTGTCCAGATCCCTCTGCAGTGTTTTCCTATACTCTAACAGATCGACATTCCTGCTCAACTTGATGACCTCCTGCAAACTGACTAAGGGTGTTCTCAATCCTCTAATCTGGGTCATTGATAAAGATATTAGACAGGACTGACCCCAGTACAGAGCCCTGGGGAACACCACTTGTGACTGGCCACCAGCTGGTCTTAAATCCATTCACCACCACTATCTGGGCCCAGTCATGCAGGCATTTTTTCACCTGGATCTTCCTTCCTTATATATATCTATGCTTTCTTATAGGTGGATGTCGTATTTGCTAACCTCCAGTGAACTGGGACCTCCCTGGTTAGGCAGTATTGCTGTTGAATGATGGAAAGTGCCTTGGTGAGAATGTCTGCCAAATCCCTCAGTACCTCAGGTGGATCCCATCTAGTCCCATAGACTTGTGTCTACATGGCATAGCAGGTCACTGTTTCCTCTTGGATTGCAGGGGCTTCATTCTGCTCCCCATTGCTGTCTTCCAGTTTAGAGGGCTGGGTACCCTGGGGATAACTGGTCTCACTATTAAGGACTGAGGCAAAAAAGGCATTAAGTACCTCAGTCTTTTCCTTATTCTTTGTCACTGTGTTTCCCCTCCACATCCAAAAAAAGGATGGAGATTCTCCTTAGCCCTCCTTTTGTTGTTGATGTATTTGTAAAAACACATTTTGCTGTCTTTTATGGAAGTAACCAGATTAAGTTCTGATTCTGATTCAGCTTTGGTCTTCTAATTTGCTCTCTGCGTAACTTCCTGACATCCTTGTAGTCCGCCAGAGTTACTTTTCCCTGGTTTCAAGGGTAATTCACCTTTTTTCTGAGTTCTAGCCAAAGTTCTCTGTTCAGGCAAGCTGGTCTTCCCTGCTATCTTGTCTTTCACTACATAGATGTGGCCTATGGCACCTTTAAGATTTCTTTCTCAAAGTACATCCAACCTGCCTGGATTCCTTTACCCTTCAGGATTGCCACCCAAGGGAGTCTCCTAAAGAGGTGCAAGTCTACCCTCTGGAAATCCAAAGTGGCAGTTCTGCTGGCACCCCTCCTTACTTTTCCAAGAATCAAAATCACTATCGTTTTCTGATTGCTTTGGCCAAGACAGACTCTGACCATCACATCACCCACCAGTCCTTCTCTGTTCACAAACAGCAAGTCCAGCGGGGCACCTCCCCTGGTTGACTCTCTCACCAACTGTGTCAGGAAGTTATCTTCCACACACTCTGTGAGCCTCCTAGACGGTTTCCTCTCTGCTGTCTTATATTTCTTGCAGACATCTGGTAAGTTAAAGTTGGCCATAACAACAAGGGCCAGAGATCGAAAGACTTCTCCCAACTGCTTATAGAAGATTTTTTCTCCCTCTGCATCCTGATTGGGTGGTCTATAACAGACTCCCACCAGAATATCTGCCTTGTTGGCCTTCCCTGTGATTCTTACCCATAAATGCTCAACTCTGTAGTCATCATCATTAAGTTCCAGACAATTGAGACACTCCCTAACATAAAGGGCTACCCCGCCATCTCTCCTTCCTTGCTTGTCTCTTCTGAGGAGTTTATAACCATTCATTGCAACACTCCAGTTGTGTGAGTCATCCCACTACGGCTTGATGACAACAACTATGCTATAGTTTTCCTGCAGCACCATGAAACTAACATTTGCTGCAGTAGCATCTGGAAATGTGCTGTCACTGAGGTATAAAATAAGATTCTGATTCCTGCCTGGATACCTGCATTGCCTGAGAAATGTCATATGCTTGGCTTATTGTGCAAGAGCCTGAGTGGAAATGAATGAAATCTCAAGGAATGGAAAATCAGCCAGCATGCAATAATTTTTAGTAGGTTTTTTGTGAGTTAGACATTTGTTAAGTGCTAAGCATAAAGAACTATTTCCCTAGATAAAAAGGAAATGGACTAGTCATCTCAAGATTTATCTATCTTAGGTTCCTAAACAAAGTTTTGGGTTTGATTAATAAATGTGAGCATATATAATTTTAGAACTTGATGACTTTAGTGATGGCCTGAGAAAAGTTTTTCATATCAATCAAGTGTGAATAACAATTTTATGTGGTAGTTCCCACTTCTGAGCTCTTGGTGAGAATTTCTGTGAAGTGCAAAGTTAGGTAGACAGAGTTCTGCAAACACAGAAGCTTTAACTAGGTATTTTTTTTTCAAACTCGCTTCTTGGTGTACTTTAGGAGTGCCTATTATAGGGTCTTTTATTGCATCTACGGGACAGACTATTTTGCTTCCAGTCCATATAAATATTGTGAGAGGACCCACTCAGCTGCTTAAGGTAATAAATCTGACTTCTTGGCTGGATGCCTATTTAAAAGTAAAACACAGAGTCAGTTAACTTGACATCTGCATTATATTCCTCTGCTTACCATGGAGTCAGTAAGTTACTTTTGCAAAAATTATAAAGGGCCTTATATTCAAATGTGGAACATGCTTTTTTCCCAGTGAAATTAAAAGGGGATGTAAATACTCATTATTTTGAAAATTGTGTCTTTTTCAGTTCGTACCTTAGCTCCTTTATCTGAAAAATTAGGTTGTAATGTTTGCTTACCTCTGTGAAGAGCTTCCAGATTCATATGTAAAAAGCACCATGTCAGTAGTTGAGCATGGTTGTTAGATAGTGGAACGTGAGAGCAGGTGCTTCATGCATTGCTTGAAAATTATAGAAGTGCAAAGATGTAGGGATCCTTTTGTGGCCAAGTTGGAGAACAGGTCTGAAAAAGCTAAAAGAAGGTTATCAGCTTCCATCATTCTTTCTAAGAACTGAAAAATTAAACCAAAATTTGTACTTAACCGTTTTCTTTCCTGCTCTTCTCATTCTCTTGTAAGACTTATTCATATCATGTGTTATCTTGTGTGATTTATGTTTTCTTTCCTCCTTTAGAAATGCCAATAGAGACCGATCAACATGAAGATGGAAAGAAGGAGTGCTACTACAATCTGAATGATGCTAATTTCTGTGACAATGTGCTTACGTCCAATGTAACCAAACAAGAATGCTGCTGTACCTTGGGTGCTGGCTGGGGTGATAACTGTGAAATCTTCCCATGTCCTGTCATTGGAACTGGTAAGATGGGGCCTCCTGTCCCTTTGCAAGCTTTTGAAGCATTATGTTTATGTTAGCAGTAGTGTGCTTTGCCTTCAGAGAAGGCTTGTCCATTAAATCCTGTGGTCTGTAGTATTTAGTCATGATTTATCCATGGAAACCTTCCACAGAGGAAAGATTAGTAAGAATAATTCTTACCTGGTGTAAATCCATTGGCTTCTCTGCAGTTGCTCTAGGGATAAGAAGAACCTGTTACTGAACAGCATTAACTCCAACTGATTTTAAGGAAAGCTGGGTTTTCACAGAAACTTTTTCTAGATGCTGTGGTAACATGTTAGATTTTTTCTGTAAGATGGAAAACAAAGGTAAGCATTACAGCGTTTTTAGGTCTGCAGCTATTCTTTGTAAAGCTTTTTCTACAGCACTATGAATTACTCATCTACAACATTAGTTTTACATTTTGCTACTTACTGAACAATTCAGGTGATCGTGTTGTCGGCAGACCATTTTTTAACCTCTAAATATTAAATTTGACAAAAATAACCTTATGATATTTGTCACAAATATTGAAAAACAGTACTTGAAATGTAAACAGTGCTGGCTGAAATTCAGAATCTAGCTGGAAAAAATCACATAAGAGAGAACATGTGTAAAATTTTTGAGATTAAATACTAAAGATTACAAATGCATCACCATGTATAATTCCTTTTTCAACTATACCTTAGAATCAGTGAAACTGAAATGAAATGCATAACAAAAAAGGGGCCTCTCTGCTTGGATAGGTTTATTTGATTCTGTATAGTCTCCAAGACACTTGAAATAATTTCCCTCTGTAATCCACACCATGTTCTCCTGTTGCAGTCAATTAGTGTTTTTCCTATATAAGGGCTGAAGAATGTGAACAGAGGTTTGTATCTCAGTCGGGGTATGTCTAGATTACAGTTTGCAGTATAGCTCAGAGAGGCCCTTGCTAGCTTTAATTAAGATAATTTGGCTACTGGTATTGTTCTAACTGCAGCGCACCATGAAATCAAGTAAGGCCTACATTCTCCTGCCTAGGAGCAAGAGAAATGAGTTTGTGTGGAGCTCTATGATGCTGTGGGTACCCTAGCTAGGTTTCTCAAGGCTAGCTCGGCAAACAGAGAGCAGAGGAAAGTCAGGCTGTATCATTTAACATTCCCTTTTTAGCTAAAAGTGTGCATGATTGCCTGATACGTGCAAATAAGGCAGGTTTCTCAAAATACCCTGAAACGCATAAGTAGCACATACATGTGTGAGTAATAATAATATGGCCAGTCTTCGCGAGCGAAGATTTGGGAAAGGTCATTAACCCTTCGAGCCTGCGCAGTGGATTTTTTAGGTGAGACACAGCGTGCGCTGAACTGAGCCCACCCTTTAATCCTGAGGTTCATCTGCCGGGGCCGAGCAAACTTGGACAGCGGCAGTGAGGGTCTCAGAACGTAGGTTTGTTTAGAGTGACCTTCTCTTAGATGGATTGCCTTACAAGGCTAACGAGCTCCATCTGCCCGGGGGGCTGGGAATCGAACCCGGGTCGCAGCGGCGAGAGTCCTGCACCCTAACCACTAGACCACCAGGGGCCCCACATGTGTGAGTACCTTTTTCTTAATGACATAATTTTTTGTTTTCTCTCTCTCCCAGCTGAATTTACTGATTTGTGTCCTGAAGGAAAAGGTTTCATTCCCTCTGGAGAATCATCTTATGGGCTTCTTGCTCAGAATTACAAAGGTCAGTACTGATTCGTATTAAGTTTAATTATTTCGGTTCTGGTAGTTGATTGACTAGCAATGTGATCCAGCAATGTAAACATACTAATTCAACTTTTATTAGGTGATAAAAACAGTTTGTGATATGAAGCATTACTGAAAATCATCATTTGACAGATTGTTAAGAATGTCAGTTACACAGTCTCTGCGATATTCTGGTTTGATTTATACTAAGTGCTATAAACTGTGAGAATAGGTGCTGAGACCACAAACCTCAAATACTCATTTACATATGAAATACAAAGCCAACTTAAATTTGTAGATAGGTGTATGAGAAGTTGGGAGAGAGAAGAAGAGTTCTGTTAAACATTAGGTCTACAAGGGAGAATGAATATAAAAACTGACGAGAAGTTCAGCAACAATGTTTTCAATACAGAACTTCATAAAATAATTATTGAACAAAAGGTGGTAGAGAAATAAGAGGGATAGAAATTGGTGGATGTGAGTGGGAGGGAACTGGCATCACCAAGAAGGAAAAGTGAGATCAGTGGAATCCCTTTTCAGGTTTGAGAAGTAGCCATCAATATTAATAATTTGAGAGATCAGTTTTCCTTGGCATAAGCACACTAAATTTGTGTTAGCTAAAATGAAGTCAACGTATTATCTTTTACATAACAGCTACAGAATCTGTAGAAAAGCACACGTGTTATATTTTGTTACTATTAGAATGACTGTTTTACAAATCAAGAAATAAATATAGCAAGTGCTGTGTGTTCGTGTCACATAAAAATGCAGTAAAAAATACTATTTTTTAAAGACCTTAATAGAGGCAGAATCACAGAATCGTAGAATGTTCAGGGTTGGAAGGGACACAGACGACCATCTAGTCCTAAACTCCCCTGCCATGGGCAGGGACACCTCTCACTAGAGTGTGTTACTCAAGGCCATATCCAACACGACCTTGAACACTGCCAGGGTTAGGGCATCCCCAATATCACATAGTTGATAGATAAGCATTTGTCAAACTTGCTTCTAGCTAAATAACTAATCTGTCAGACTTAATTCTGAGAGATGAAAAAAATGGTGGAAAGATTTTTGTTGGTTTTTTCCCTAAAGGTTATTATATGTACTTTTTAAACTACCCTTGCTCACTGAGTAGGACACTACTAAGTTGATTTTCTTGTTGAGTTAGTGAGTAGACCATAACTGAGTTCAGTTCTCTGTCTTACTAGTAATTTTTTGTGTTATCCTCAGCAGGTACTTCTTTACACCTGTAAATTGCATGTGACATGGAAAAAATAACAAAGTTTATAAGGCACTAATACCCAGATTTGTTCAAATTAATGTGGGCTTTTAAATGGGGTAACTCCTGTGAGACTCCACTCTCTGGAGGTTGCATTGTCCAGCAACTTGGAGTAAAGAACAAAGTGCCATTGGATGAACACAGATCTAAGACTGAAGGTAGCAGGGACCAACCTTCGAGAGACTTACAGTTTTTGTCTAGACAAGTTAGAACATTGTCACAGAGCTCATCTCAAAGGCTCTGATAGTCTCTGAGAGTATTTTTGTGTAGGGATTGTTTAAAGGTGTTGTTTATCTTTGCAGATCTAAGATTTCTGTATATATTCACAAGGGGGGTTTGGGACATGCTGTGTGTACAGTATGTCCAAATGTCTCAGACAAAATATGCATTGTTTTTGTGCTACCTCAGGGTTGATAATATCTCTAGCTGTTATAAATATTGAAATGTGGAAATAGTTCATCTAGAAATATCTTCCACAAATCCTTGCTGTAATCAGACTTTTTCTGTTTTCAGTAAATTTGTTTTGTAAAAACCTTAGGAATGACACAAAGGACAAATACTAAATGAATAAATAACTTTTAGTAATGTGATCTTTCTCTGTTACACTAACTCATATGTTCCTGTTGCTTTTGTCCACAAGCTTCTGCTTGTAGGAACAACTCCTGTTTTCTTAATTGAAATTATCTGTTAGAAGTGAATATACTCAGCCAGCCTCTCTTGACTCTGCGTCCAGGCTTTCGCATTTTTCTCCAGATACAAAATCCATGTTCCACAAGAAAAAGACAGATTATGTTTCTTATTAATGTTTGCATTGTTTTTGCTGCTAAACAGTCAAAATATTTAATGTTTGTAGCCACTTAGTGACTGGAAGAGTGGGTGTAAAAATAAATAGTTTTATGGACCTTTCAATTCTTCTGGAAAAAGTAAGCATTTGAATAATTCACATTAAAACTGCTGTACAGCTGGAAATGACAGCTTTGGGCTAAAGTCTGTGTTGCCCTAGAATAAATGGTGAGTAAATCTATAGAAGACATTGGGTTAAGGAAATTGGTATTGAGAGAAGAATTATGTACTTTACGCTGTGCTTTTTATTGCCATTTTTAATACCAGCTTTTAACTAGCTTTAACAGACTATTCTAAGTAGGTCTAGCAAATGAAAAGTAGGTTGGAAAAAAGGAAGTGAATAGAATTCCAGCAGTAACAAATACATAAATACAAGACTGGGGAAAAATGTGTACAACTGTGAAAAGCTATATATGAGCTGACATATATTTTCCTTGCAACCTTCCTGAAAACATTTAGCCTCATTTGATTCTCTTTGTCAGCTGTCACTAGTTCTATAGTATTTGCAGCCATATATTTAGGAACAGACACGATTGGTCCTACATGATGGGAATTCTGCACAGAAATTGTATTTTGAAAAATGAAGCCACAAGCAGAACAGATATGAAGATTTGCTGCCATGCACAGCAGAGTCACCAAACTGTATGGAAAGAGGAGAACAGTCACAAAGTCTATCCATAAGCATAACTGCTTAGTTTTGTAATCAGATGATGCTTAAATTAGATCCGTGGTGGGAATCCCTTTGGTAAAGCAAATTATACAGGAAAATACAGGCCACATTCTTCATCTCTTTTGTTTGTAGCTAAGAGCAGTGGGATATCAAAGGAGAGAAAGAGGAACTGCAGATTCTTCCAGTCTCTGTGTGCCGCAGGACTTAATTCTGACATGGGAAAGGGAAAGTAATGATCCACCAGTTTTTCTTTTTCCATTCTAGCTACAAGTGCACCACAGGCTTTTCCACACCAGTTGTTTGGGTTTTTTCCTGTGGATATCTGTGCTCCTGGGACTCTCTGTTTAAAGTGAAGTCTGCTTGAATAGAGAAGCATATGGGATTTATTCCATCTTGCTCCTCTACATGGTATCATAGTAACAATGGTAACAAAGCCTTTAATATTTCCTCCCCAGATGCTGATGAATGCCAACTCTTTGGACAAGAAATCTGTAAAAATGGCTTCTGTTTGAATACGCAGCCAGGTTATGAGTGCTACTGCAAACAAGGCACATACTATGACCCTGTTAAGCTCCAATGCTTTGGTAAGTTTATTTAAAGTGGTCTTGTCACTATAATGGTATGCAGATGGGCAAAACAAGCAGACTTGTATGGCGGGATTCCCATCACAACCGTGGTATTCCCAGCAAGGGGAGGAACACCAGACCTTTGAACTCCTGTAGCAGCTTTTGAAGATGCGTTGGGTCATTTCCCTTCCCTTCTGCTCAGCTGGTCAGAAATTCT